TTTGTTGAATCTGACGTGACATGTTCGTACGAACCCTTTGTACGAACAAAAGTAAGAGAAATTTAGGATAAGAATACGAGCATGTTCTTGCATGAGGCCCATTGATTTAACAGAAGGTGTTTTCTCTATCATTCATTTTAATAGCAGAAGTATAAATGCAAATATATCATCAATAACTGATTATTTAAAACAATTAAATTGAGCCTTTTCAATAATAGCATTTTCAGAAACCTGGCTTTATGATTCGAATATAGATAATATTAATATAGAGGGATATGAGTTGTATTACAGAAACAGAAGCAATAAAACGGGTGGAGGAGTCGCTTTATTTGTTAATAATAAAACAAACTGCAAAATCATTAATAAAATGTCATTGACTATTGATAATGTTATGGAATTAATTACTATTGAAATAATAAATAAGAATTCTAAAAATATAATAATAAGTTGTATTTATCGATCACCTGAATCAAACATACAGTAGAACTATTTACAGACAATATTATGAATGTCCTTGGGGAAGTTATAGTAAAACAGTAGTATTTTGTGATGACTTTAATATTGACTTAGGAAATATAAAAGACTCAAATAACATTGGCACATTTATAAACTCAATGCAAAGTCTAAATCTTTATCCGTTAATATCTAAACCTACCAGAATCACATCTCATAGCGCTACAATAATCGATAACATTTTTACAAATATAATAAATGGAGAAGTGATTAGTGGTATTTTAACAATTCTGACAAAAAATCTAAGGACTGGATGGACATGGATATGACGTTTGTTAAAGAAATAATGAGTTATGTTATTGAACCTTTTACTCATATACTGTATGTAATCTATCATTTTCGACAGGGGTATTCCCTGACAGCATGAAAATAGCAAAGGTAATTCCACTCTACAAGAATGGTGAAAAATGCAAGTTTACCAACTACAGACCAATATCAATGTTGCCTCAGTTTTCAAAAATTCTGGAAAAATAGTTTGTAACCAGACTGGATCGATTCATTGATAAACAAAACATTCTGAGTAAAAATCAATATGGTTTTAGAGCTAAGCACTCCACATCACTGGCTCTCATGGATCGGATAGAACAAATAACTACAGCTATTGATCAAAGACAGTATTGTATCAGTGTTTTTGTTGATTTAAAGAAAGCTTTCGATACTATTGATCATAGCATTCTTTTAGAGAAATTGAATAAATATGGCATAAGAGGTCCAGCATTACAATGGGTGTCTAGTTATCTGACAAATAGGAAACAATTTGTTCAACTAAATGAAA